CGGCTATAGTGTGCATGACAAAAAAGAAGTCTCGTGGTAGCGTCTCTCTATGTACACCAGTAGTACCATGGTGGCCTGGGGACGGGAGAAGGTGGTTGGATTTGTTTGTTAGTTTGTTAGTTTGTGTGGTTGTTTGTTTGTTTGTTTGTTTGTTTGTTTGTTTGTTTGGTTGTTTGTTTGCTTGACTGTATAGGCATGATAACGGCTATAGTGTGCATGAAAAAAAAGAAGTCTCGTGGTAGCGTCTCTCTATGTACACCAGTAGTACCATGGTGGCCTGGGGACGGGAGAACGTTGTGGTGTTGTTAGTTAGTTATTTTTTCTTTTTTCTTTTAGTTTTAGTAAGAGTTTTACGGCACTTGCAACGCAAAAAGGTCATATAAGTGCCGAAGATTAGAGGTGTTACAAGAGAGTAACAAACACAAAAAAGGAGAAGGAGAGATCAGGACGATAGATGTTTGATAGGAAAGAAGGAGCAAACCACACCAGAGCACCTTCGAACCATTTGTTTATTTGTTTGTCTGTTTGTTTGCTTGAATATAAAGACACGATAACGGCTACAGTGTGCATGGAAAAAAAAAGTCTCGTGGTAGTGTATATCCTTGTACACCAGTAGTACCATGGTGGCCTGGGGACGAGAGAAAGTGATGGTGTTTGTTTGTTAGTTAGTTAGTTAGTTAGTTTGTTTGTTTGCTTGAATGTATAGACACGATAACGGCTATAGTGTGCATATAAAACAGAAGTCTCGTTGTGTACCATGGTGGCCTGGGGACGGGAGATGTTTGTTTGTTTGTTTGTTTGTTTGTTTGTTTGTTTGTTTTGCTTAAATATATAGACACGATAACGGCTACAGTGTGCATGGAAAATAGAAGTCTTGTGGTAGCGTATGTCCACGTGCACCAGTAGTACCATGGTGGCCTGGTCGTGGTGTTGTTTCTTTGTTTGTTTGTTTGTTTGAATATATAGACGTTATGACACTCAATGTGAGCAAGGAAAAACAAAGCTCGTGGTAGTGTCTCTTTATGTACACCAGTAGTACCATGCTCACTTGGGGACGTGAGAAGTTGGTAGTATTGTTTGCTTGTTTGTTTGTTTGTTTGTTTGAATATATAGACACTATAACATAACGTTCCACTGGTGCAAGGAAAAACAAAGCTCGTGGTAGCGTCTTTCTGTGTACACCAACAGTACTCTGGTGGCCTGAGGAAGGCGGGAGCATGTGGTCGTGTTTTTATGTTTCTTTTGTCGTTTGTTTCTTTTATTTGTTTGTTTGTTGGTTGGTTATCTATTTTATATTCAGCAACTTACAAACATAAGTGTCACTTTTTCAATAAAACTACGATAGCTACAGAGTTGAACGTTGGCAAGTACCTACAAAAAGATAGATTGGTCCCCCATGACGGAACTCGATTTGTTTATTTATTCATTTCCTGAATTTAGAAAAAATATAATTGACAAAAAAAAGTTCCCGTCCTTCTTTGGCCTTTGTGATTACTCCACTGAGAAACGAAACAAATCTGTATAGCTGTCCTTTACAGCTGAAGTGCCGGAGGTGATATTTCGCGAGGCGCATTTTGTTTTGAGAGTATAGACCTAGACCTAATTTTTTGCATCTCTCAAGATGGATTGCTCCTTAGCTTCCAGTAGAGTGTAATTTAATATAGTAGGCCAATGACTTTCAGTTGATGTTAATTCACCGATCATTCATTTCATTGAAAGGGGGCTCAGCTAGTTTGAACTTAATATCATAGACACAACAACGGTCATAGTGTGCAGGAAACTCGGGGTAGCTTCGCTTCAAATGCGCCTGCAGTATCGTGGTGGCCTGGAGACTGGGGAAGGCTGTATTATTCTTTGTTTGTTTGTTCGTTTGTTTGTTTGTTTGTTTGTTTGTTTTAGGGTTAGCTGGTTGTTTGGTTTGTTTGTTTACTTGAGCTCATAGACACAATAACGGTCATAGTGTGCAGGGAAACAGTACAGAGATAATGTGTGTGTGTATATGTATGCTTGTCATTATCATTATCATCATCATTCTCCTCCTCCTCCTCCTCATCATCATCATCATCATCATCATCGGCAACAAAACGTGTGTTTATGTCCAAACAAAATTACATAAACAGGATAGATGGACAGACAGACAGACAGACAGACA